CCGGGCCTTCATTCATCTCCTTGACTTGTGATTTATGTAAAGATGGCATCCTCCGGACCACTTCTTGGAAACGGCTCGCAAAGTGACGCCATTTGGAGATGATTGGCCGACGCGGGGCGGGGAGAACACGGGAGCCGCCACTGGAAAGCGCCGCCTCTCGTCTTGGTATCGCAGATCCCCCTCGTATTTATTTTTCTTCGTTCATCGCAAATGATTTGTCGCATTTGCTTCCTGTCTCGGAACAGAGGGGCGATGGAGTCGGGAAATGCTGCGGGCCGAGATTAGAGGATGACTCAAGTAAGGTAGAGAGCTCACGTAAGCGGCGGTTGGATATACAGCACAGGCTGCGCTTAAAGTGGAGCTTTCATTCATTTCTGAAATGGCGTCATATCTACGGCAACGGTATAATGTGAACAAAGGACTCCAGATTTCATCCTTGGGTACCAGTCCCATGACATTGCCTAGGCTGAGATGATGTCATCAGTCTGCTGCAGGCAGGTGGACGCATTTCCTCAGTCTCCTCTCCCCCAGTGATCAGTCTGCTGCAGGCAGATGGAAGCACTTCCTCAGTCTCCTCTCCCCCAGTGATCAGTCTGCTGCAGGCAGATGGAAGCATTTCCTCAGTCTCCTCTCCCCCAGTGATCAGTCTGCTGCAGGCAGATGGAAGCATTTCCTCAGTCTCCTCTCCCCTAGTGATCAGTCTGCTGCAGGCAGATGGAAGCATTTCCTCAGTCTCCCCAGAATTTACATGACTGTGTGAGCAGAGGGGCGGCAGCGTTGTGGAATCCCCTGACGCCCGGAACATGCAGTTCCGGGCGCGGTCGGTAAGTTGTTTTCTACATTTAGTCCTGCTTTGGGAAAACATGGCTAAATGTAGTGTGAGGAAGCCGCTTGTTCGTTCATTCCCCCCTCGCACCTACCTCTCTCCTCGCTGGCTGCCTCCGGATGTCTTCAGGATGGAGAGCGGGGAGCAGAGCGGCAGGGTTAAAAGCAACCCTGACGCTCCATGTGCACAGTGAGAGAGAACAGTCTTCCCCTCTCACCTGTCACAGGAGGTCCAGCACAGTGCTGTGCTAGAACTCCTGTATTGGAGGTGACAGGGTAAATAAAGAGAACCTGTCACCTCCAATTGCTATCACACAGGTTTGTTAGCTCCTGTGTGATAGCGATAAAGTTAAGTAAAAAAAATAAATAAAGAAAACAACTAAACAATAATAAGAAATAATAATTAAATTAAAAAGAAAATAATTATAAAAAAATAAACAATAATGAGAACTTGTAGCATTGTTACTGATGGGCTCCTCACATTTGTAACTCATTACAAGCAGGATCAGACAAAGCCGGAGTGTAAATAATTGTCTGCCTCGGCGCTTTATTTCCTGCCACAACACGATGCACCGTGTGAACGCACCACGGGCCTGTCACCAGCACCGATAATGATAGGCTATGATTGCACATAACAAGGGTTCGCCAACGGACAGACATTTCCAATTAGGATTAAAGTTCTGGCAGCGAGGATTCCCCAGACGTCTTCTACAGTTTGACTTCATTATGTGCACGCCGCTCCGGAATAAGTTCCAGAACAGGACGGAGGAAGAGATCTTTCACTGATGAGCCCTGCTGATGGACGAACACTCCGACGGAGAAAGAATTTCTATGCTGGCTATTGCTGTTCTCCTATATTGTAAAGATAGGAACTATACTGCTTGTAGAATCAATGGGTTGCATTGACTGATGATGCTTTCCAGGAAATATACATTTAAAAACATACATTTTACGCTTAAAGGAGAACTATGAGGTGGTATATATATATATATAAAAAACTTGCTGGAAGCAATGCATGATGGGATATGTAGTCTTGAGAAATGGAGATTGCATCACATCAAGCAGCAGGGAAAGAGACGCAAAGCACACTGGGAATCCAGGAAGTTGATGAAAGTGATGCGCAAATAGAAGGCAGCACTCACTACATAAAAGTAAGCTCTGATTGCATTATCCAAAACAACTCTAGTATGCATTCCTATTACAATGTTATAACAGGGGAGGATGTGCTGGGACTTAAAGGAGAACTATGAGGAGAGTGCTTTTCACTCACCTCATAGTTCTAGCCGACCTGTGACAATGAGACTGTCACAGGTCGGCTCAGTAGATCGGGAGGTGAGCGAACACATACCGGCGTTCGCTCACCTCTCGATCCTGTCACGGCTCTCTGCCGTGACAGGGGACGTGCGCAGTCCGTTCAGGTTACGACAGAAAAAATACTGCATGTCACATTTTGTACGGTCAGGAAACGGTCTGGAAACGCAAAACGTGTCAAAAACGCATCAAAAACGCACTGCACTGCAGCTAACATACTGACAGCCCCACTCCAGCAAAAAAAAAATGTTTTTTTTTTTTTGTCAAAAACGCATCAAAAACGCGGTAAAACACATAGCACCGCGTCTGCAGATCCGGACCTGATCAGGACCTGAAAATCATGTGAACAGGGCCGAATGTCGGTCCACTTCAAAATGGACCATGGCTAGGGCTCTAGGAGTGCACTGTGAAACCCCGGAAGTACATCTCAATCCAACGCTGCCACACTTTAGTATATTGGGGCACTCTGTCCAAGATTGTAGCCTCAACTTTTTCATGGGTCAAGGCCTGTGTGACCCTATTTTTAGTTTCAGTCAAGCTGAGGTTTGAGTTTTCCAAGCTTTGGCTATGGTTTGCTGAGCAGAGGTAAGGATTTGCAATTGTAAGCTAAATTGGGCATTAGTTCTACCATCGGATCTTTTGTTAAGCAAGGCCCGGGCCTGGTTCTTAGGTAGGCTACGGTCCGACAGGGCCAACAGCATCTGAAACACTTGTGCCCACAAATGAGACCACTATAGGGCATGGCCACCATATATGATATAAAGTACCCCTCTTATTGAAACCCCCAAACCCATAGAGGGATATCCAGATACATATTTAGCTGGAAGGCACTAGATACCATCAGGAGATGCCAGGTATCATTTTTAGGGAGCATCGGCTACCCAGCTCTTTGGGATTTGTCCAGCCCTGAATTTTAGACTTGTCGGAGGGTGTAGATGGAGGCCGGTGTAACCCAATAGGTATTAGTGGAGATGCATTTTAAAGCAAGGAGGAAAAAAAACTCCCCTTGTAGTGAGGCTACCCCTGTACTTCATAGGCTAACTGCTAATTTTTATCTAGTGGACCTGTGTAAAGGACTTTTACTTACCTGATCCCCACTCCCCTGGTAGTGAGTGCGTTCCTTGTCCTAGGCTCCTGCTTGTAGAATGTCCCTCAGCATCCTCACATATAATCCAGGGGTATGGGCCCACCATTAGGCATAATGATGTCAGCAGACTTTTGACCACTAGAGTGGTAGTTGGGGGGGGAGGGGGGGGGGCTGTGGGCGCCTATCTTGGAGCCTGTGGGAGCGGGGATCAGGTAAGTAAAGTCCTTTACACAGGTTCCCTGAACAAAGACAAGCTGTCCAAGCAATGTAAGGGTATTTTTTTTCCTGGAGGTAGGCTTTTATGCATGGTGGGTGTGAATTTTTATCCCAACAGGGGTTCTGCTCTAAATCAATCGGATGGTAATCCATCATCGCTCAAGAATTTAACACCCAGATATGAGTTTTAATGTCCCCCATAACCAAGATTTTAGAACGTTGGTGCTTTCTGCCTCTCTTAATAGCTGAAGATGAATTCAGGGAGATGAAAAGGTGAAGACATGGATTGTAGCCATCCACATGTGCATCTCCTGGCCTTTTGACCAGCCAAGCTCTTCCTTCATCAGAAAGATTGTGATCCTAATTAGTGAAACGGTTTAAGCGCTGATCAAAGCAGACAGGAGACAGTGTCCTGGCCTGGGGCAGGGAACGTGCTCTGCAGATGTCCCCGATGCCCCTGGCCCAGGTGTCTGCATTGCCCTTTATTAATCTTTTATCATTTCCAGCCCTGAGCCCCTAGAGGAATCTCTTCCATGGACAAAGATTATATAACACGTGTCTTCTTCTAAACTCTTTACCATTATACCAGACAATGAGGGAGAACAGCACATGGCAACCATCCCAAACATCAGTGTTCAAATACCCTGAACAGTTTGGCCAAAATCTGGCTGATTGTGGTTGAAGATGCCTGAAAATAGTCATATGATCAACATTAAAGTGGATCTGAATCCTAAACTGACCATACACCTTGCAATCTGAATGTACAATGTCTATACCATCTCCTGGTAGTAGTAGAAGCCGTGTCTAAACAATCCTGTGATTTTGTATTTAGTAAAGATGCCTCTCGTTCTGCATAATTATTGGAAGATCTGAAAAGGAGAGCCATTTGTGGAGCTGCTACAAAATTTCTTGTGTGATATTTCCAGAAGGTTTAGAACCTCTGCTAGGATTGTATTGCTGAGTCCCCTCTAGAGACATTTCACCTCACTTCCTGTCCAGATGATAGGTGTCAGAACAGGAAGAGAGATTTCTTCTATGAGAACACAATATTTAAAGCTGAAGTTTAATCTGCTTCCCCAAACCCCCCCCCATCAACATGTTAATAAAAATCTTAAAAGCTTTCCATTTTAATTACATCCCTTATTATAGACCCAGTGATGTCATCCCTGGATCTCTGTGCCCCCCTATGCAATGTGGCAGATTATTGCTGGTGGGAGGAGCCAGCAGGGCATCTCAGCACCCTGCCTCAGTAGTCTATTCAAGTGTCCTCAGCCCTCATGCAAGCAGTAGGCGGGTTCTTGGGAGGAGTTATGCAAATATTTAAATGCCTTGCTGGGTGGATGTCTATCTGGAGGAGTGGGCTTTCCTAGGCAGGCTGTATTTGCATGCGGACCGCCCTAGATAACACCCACATGTGATGCTGAGCCTCCATGATTACAAAGGGCTGGGTGAAAGATCGAGTACTGCTGAATGTCATTGACCTGACAGATATATCATGTTTTATACAAGAAGAATTTCCTCTGACATTTTTTAATTTCTCTTTGTATTTTTTTTGGTGCAGGGTCTGATTAAAATTCGAGGGGACAAATGTTGGCGCGACTTGACCTGCATGAACTATCATTATGAGGTATGGACTGATTATGGCTTTTACTGAGGTTTCCAGAATCAATAAGGTTTCCATCAGAAAGAAGCAAAACTTCAGCAAAACGGTTAAACTTGGAGTGGAAATCTTTTACCAGTCAATATATTTGGACTTCTGTTGGATTACCACCTCCAATATGCTCATTGGGTTGTAAGGGCTTGTTTACCCGCTATCCAGTGCGTTCCATTGACATGAATAAACCAATGAAAAGTCACTCGCACTCCAATGTAGCTTCCAGTCAATCTATTTATTGACTAAATGGTGCAGCATTTCCATGCAACGTTTCGGAACCAAAGAGGTCCCTTCATCAGGCAAATAAAATGACTGATGAAGGGACCTCTTTGGTTCCGAAACGTTGCATGGAAATGCTGCACCATTTAGTCAATAAATAGATTGACTGGAAGCTACATTGGAGTGCGAGTGACTTTTTATTGGTTTATTGTAATCTGTGGCGGTGTCTGCTTTCACTGCCGCACCCGCCCTGTGCTTGGGGAACTTTTTTCCGGTCAGGAGTGCGATGGGTTATTTTGGATTTTGAACCATTGACATGAATGGCACCGCCACGCCCCCTCCCACCCCAGAACGCGTGAGGCTTTAATTATGCGATTCAGTGCGTTCAGGCCACTAACCGTGCTGTAACGCAGTGGATAGCATGTGAACAAGTCCTAAAAGTCATAAAAGGGCAACGCCATGGGCGGAAAAACTAATGTGGGCACATACTACAACCCCTATCTATTTCCAGTCTATTCCATAAATTCCTCACGCTGGCCTTCCAGAGTATCCTGGGAGACTCTGACCTCCAATGCAAACACTGACACTGGAAGGCAACACCCAGCCATCCTACATAGTATACGTACGGCTCATAGTAGGCTGCTTTGACATTGCAGTGTGGGCTGCAGGTTGTTGGTGCTGCTGACACTGAGAAAATTGCAGGATGGTGTAGGCTTCTGGAACACTCAGGAAGACCAATGTGAAGAAATTAAGCCCAAACTCCTAAAAGTTTTTTTATTTGCAACGCTAATAATCCAAAACTACCCTGACAGTGGAGTTCCCTCCCACACTGCAAGGGTTAAGTGTTAGTTTTTTTCCTAGGGTACCGTCAAATGTAGTTTTACTGTATCCCTCGCTCCTCTGGGCTTCCTCCTCCCTGTGTGACCGGTCCCCCGAAGCTGCTTCTCTTTGGTGATCCATTGGTCACAAGCACTGTGATGTCATCATGTACAATGAAGGACCAGCAGTCCTGCATTATCAGTGAGGATGCCAAGGGGCGGCCCACAACCTGGAGCATCGGAGAGAAGAGGAGAGCTTTGGCAGCCAAGGGTATCTTTAAATGCAGTTTTCCCGTATCCCTCGGTCCCACGGCCTTCTTCATCTCATATAACCGGTCTCCAAAGCTGCTTCACTTTGGCACTCCAAAGGTCACAGACACTGTGATGTCATCACTTACAATTGAGAATCAGCAGTCATGCAAGGGGGGATGGTGAGGACCGCCCACAACCCGGAGCGTTGGAGGGAAGAGGAGAGCATTGGATGCCAGAAAAGGGAGGGATAAGATAAAGCTGCTTTTTAATGGTGCCCTAGGCAAAAATGAGCATTTAACCCTTGCGGTGCAGCTTGTGAAAGGGTCATTTTGAGTTCAGCTTTAAATTCGAAATAGAGTGGGGAAAGGTTAAAACCTCAACTTTTTTATTGCTGTCTGCTTCCCAAATTGTGAGATTTTTCTTATTTTTTTGGTTCAAATCTCAGACTGAACAGGAAGCACGAGACAACTGTCCACTATCTATCTATTGACAGATGTCAGACAGAAATTCTCCCCACATCCTCTCTGTTTGTCTTGTATCAGACAGAACATATCATGAGTGGAAATCCCCCCC